TTAAATATCTTCAATTGCAAACCAACAAATATTTGAGCGAATTTTTGAAATGGTTGGTGTCGATGTTTACTGTGATGGACTCCTTGATTTTTGAATACGCTGATTCAATGAATATCGTGTGTGAATATCTTGTGAATATCATATGAATATCGTATGACTATCGTGTGTCAATGTGTTACTTGTTTAGACTAAGCGTTAGGAACGTAGGTCGGATGAACAAGCAGGTTCGGTTGCTGAACTCGTTGTTTCGTTTGGCAGGCCGAGTGAACAGTGAACTCGTTGGTTCGATGCGTAACACGGAACGGATGATCCGCGAACTCTATGCAATTTTCACTGTTCAATTCAATACACAAAGTCGAAACACTTTCTAAAATGTCTTACCTTGTGTTTATTTCCTGAATACGTAAACGTTGCTTCGAGCACTACACTGTCTACACAAGTTACTCCTTACCAGAATCGCAGAATCTTTGGCAATCAAATTTGTCGTTTTGCGTCGACAATGAAAAGGAACTCCTTGCAAACCTCACCGTGGCCTGCCACAGGCATCCCACGGAGTTAGACAAGTTGTGATTTCCTATTTTTATTTCAGCTAGTTCTTGCTTCATTGGTCTATATTTTGTTTATGGCGGTTTCTTTTTTTTTGTAGTGAGTACAGGCACAGCTTTATCAGCTATTGTCTGAAACATCAGAAAGTACAACACACGTGATTTGGACCGAGGCTATGTACACTATAGAATACGATTATATAAATATACACATATTATTATATATATGAACAGATAAACGATGAATAAATTGTTTCACTTATCCCGAGAGTGCTCTATACAAAATAGATCAAAATGTGCATCATATGCCGTGACAGCATTGCGTGACGAACAAATAACGGCTGTAAGATTGTGCTGCGCCGACAAAGAGCGAGCGATATTTTGGGACCACTTTGGAGTCATGATCAGCGATTCAATTATGGAGTTTTATGTAAGAACTATCGTGTCAGAACCGAGCATTTATTTCAGTAAACTGTCCAATTCAATTAAACCTGCCAACTGTACATGTTACTGGCGTTTAATACTAATAGATTTAATTCATATAATGCGATTACGCAGTGGCTATTCGTACGGCACCCGTACGGCGACTTGTATTTGCTATTCGTACGGGAGTCAGAAGATTT